TTTCTACCCATAAGTCTTTGTAAACTCCAAGGTGGGATTTTCTATGAGCAACTGAGGAGCTCCTGATTGCTGAAGTTGTCCACCTGGAGTATTTCTGTTGGGCGTGGCACAAAACAATGTTCTGGGAGGTGCCCACTCTCTCTCAGGTGCTTAGAGTTCTGATGCTATGATTGGCTAGTTTGGCCACTTTGCTGGGTTAAAAGGAGGTCTCCTAGAGGCAGAACTCTCTCTCTGACTGCTGGTTGAGGAAGACGTGCTGCTGAAAGAGATACGCACTCCTGAAAGAGACACGCGCTGCTGGGAAAGAGATGCAAGAGATGCGCATTGCTGAGTGAGACACCGAGGAACACGCACTGCTGGGGGAAAGACTGTGAGAGACTGTTGGCTGAGGGACGGTGGGCTGGGAGAGAGACTGAGCGTTCTTACTGAACTTGATTTGTAGCCTGGTGCTTCCCTAATAAACCCCATAATCTGTGAGTTCTGTGTGGCCACTGCAGCGAATTATCGAACCCAGGAGAGAGGTGGTGGGTGCTTTTGGAGGAATGGATGGAGAAAAGACTGGAAGAAGGCAGCATGTCTGACCTCTCAGGAATAGGCCTTGGGCTATTGATGGTGCTTCTGTCTTCCTCTTGTGGGATTAGAGGAGGTCAGAACATGTGGCCTCCTTGCCGTTTTTGCACTTACACAGTAATATACAAATACTTTATTAATACAGATTCCTATAATGACGGTAATAGGGTTGGAGTCTAAATCCCAAGTGCTGGTTATATTTGTGTTAAAAATATCAGATCTATATTTCAGGAGACTAGTATTAATTAAACAAACTGTTACCAACACTTGTGGCACAAAAACTACTTACTGTCCATCTGTGTTTCTAGTTTCTTGTTTTTCTTTGGAGTTTTGTGAGGACTCTCCAGTATCACTGCCAAAGGCTGAGTCAGGATCATTTTTCACAGTATTTATTATATCAGTGGATACGGAAGGAATATTCTGTGGCTTTAGAAAAATATTTTCAGCCTCATCTTTAGGCACTTCACTCAGTTCTTCCTTTTCGTCGATTTCTTCAAGACTGTAATCAGAGCTTATTCCAACTATAAAGAAATGAAGATATAATCATAAATATTAATTTGCCTCATTCATCTTGTGTAATCTTAGAAAGGAAGGAATTTTTGAAATAATAATTAATTGTACTCTTTTAAATTCTGGTTTAAGAGTGAAATACTTTTCTAATGGTGACTAATCATGTTAACATATAACCAGATTATTTTAGCACACTGAATAATAAAAATAATATGCTATCACTCTGGATTTTATTCAAGGTAGAAACAGATTATTTAATCTCATAAACTTCCTATTACATATTTAAGAATATACCTTTCAGTTAAAATGATTCCTATATCATGTAATAGTCTAAATGTCTGCTAAATGAAACTTAGGACGTAAGATTTTATATTGTGTATAAATACACTTATAAAATTTAATTCAGTAGTTGTCAGTACTTACTGTACTTTAAAAATACTGGGCCCTCTTTTAAGAATATGATTTTCACACTGACCTCACATCTATTAATCAGAATCCCCGGAAGGTGGGACCTAAGACTTTTTTTTCCTGCCTGACCTGTTCTTTATTATATATTGCCTTCCCTTCACATAAGTTAATATATATCCATCCTCTAGTTAGTGGTTTACCCTCCCTTCCTCTCCCATCCCTGGTAAGCCTCGAAAAATATTTCTTTTTATGTCAAAACCTTTCCTTGACTTTGTTATAATAATGGTCTCATGTAATACTTGTCTTTTTTGTGATTGACTAATTTCACTGAGCACAACAGCCTCTCGGTTCATCCATGTTATGAGATGTTTTGCAGATTTATCATGGTTCTTTAATGCTGTGTAGTTTTCCACTGTGTGCATGTACCACTGTTTGTTTATCCACTCATCTGTGGATGAGCATTTAGGTTGATTCCATCTTTTGCTATTGTGAACAGTGCTGCAATGAACATGGGTGTACATATATCTCTGTCTCATGGCTCTTATTTATCTAGGATACAGACACCTTAAAGCTACCCAGGTGATTTTAATGTCCAACAGAAATAAGAGCCACTGATCTACCATATTTTTATGCAAATAATACACATGCTGTACATTTTTTTTCCAACTAGAACTCTATTTTTTTAAAGCATTCTATGTGTGGGTGTCTTATTTATTAAAAATACAGTAGATAATTAATTTTATAGATATAAATAGAACAATGTGATACAGTGAAAATTAACTTGTATTACCATACAATTTTATTTTCAGAGCAATACTCTTTACATTTTTCTCCTGTACAGTATTAGAAAATGTAATGCACATACAGAAGCATATATATACACACACTCACATTTTTCTTTCTCGCTCTTGTTGGTTTATTTAAAACAAATGGAAGCTTCCAATATGCAACGCTTTCCATTGTTTTTTCTTCTACTTGCTATATCTCACATATCATCTCATATTAATGTGTATGTGTGTGTGTGCATGTGTGATTCTTTTGAATAGCTGTGGTCAATACTTCACTGCATAAAAATGTATCATTATTATTTCTTAGCACTGACAGCAAATGGCCAGCAAAGTAAAAGGGGAGACATCTTAAGCAGGTAGTGCCCACATTTATTGTCAAGACTAGCTATGCAAGTAAATTTAACCCAAAGAACGAGGTTCTGGAACTTTTCTTATTTAAATTTATTGAACCACTTCCATTATGTAATAGTAGCTGAACAAAGTTTAACTTTATCACGAGAGGGGAAAATGTGTTATAACATTATTGTGATCAACACATCTACAAATCAATAAGAAGTTTAAAAATATGTGAAGATTTCAAGTACTTAAATGTATGTCTTTAATTTTATCTTTAGGTATAAAGACAGTAAATTGTGCTGTTTGTGCTCTTTAAAAAATTAAGTGTGGAATTTTAAGGAATTTTTCTTTTAAATAATTAGGTTCCTCACTAGAAAAATATTAAATGGTTTCAGTTTAAATAACTTCTCAAATATATTTGGGAAAGTCATGTTTTATCATGAAATGTGAAATCATCATCATCATGAAAATGTTCAATATGTGCTCATGCTGGCATACTTACTGCATTTATATAGCATACTCAGACAATTTTAAAACTATCCTGAGAAAAATGAAAGGTTGTATTGTTTTAGATGCTAATGTATTTTATAAATTGGTTCTCAGTATGTGGTAAGTTATTTGGAAAATTACATTAATTAAGATGACATTTAGTAAATTATTGCTTTCTCTCCTTATTACTCTTTCCCATTCAAATATTTCAGAGACATACAACTTTTCTTTAAGTAGGGTTCTTACTGAGAATCTAGCCTCAATTAATTAAAGTATAAAAAATGAGTCACATCCTTTCAAAATTATTTTTTCTGGAATTTTATAACTTGATAGTTATACAAACCAAAAACCCGAAACTCACTGCCGTCCAGTCAATCCTGACTCATAGCGACCCCTCCTTGGGTTTCCAAGGAAGTATCTCTCTGAAAGTAGATTGCCCTACCTTTCTTCTGAGGAGTTGCTGGTGGGTGAACCACCAGCCTTCTGGCTAGCAGTCAAATGCCTTAGACACTACGCCATCAGAGCCAGGCATTCTTAAATATGAGAATTTATTAGCTTGAAAAACATGCCTATTGTTAAAAAAAAGTATTGGAGAAGGCAGTGATTTTTTTAAACAAATTTTAATCATCCAAGGACATTTTCATAGTTTGTTTTTGACTAATACAGACTTTCTTAAACTTTGAAAATATTGAATTGAATTTGTTTTGTTTGTCTAAAGAGACTTAAATGATGGCCAAATTTTAGTCCGACCCCCCAAAAAAAGAAAACTGGGGTGGCAGTTGTGAACAATGCAGTTGAATAATTTTGAAGAATGTTATATCACAACTATTGTCATTTCAACTTCATAAATGCTAAAGGAAGAATATTCTGTTTCAAGGAACATAGAGTGTCCAAAATTTTAGTCTAATTTTTTTAAGATTTAACAACTGCAGAGAACAATATTGAAAACTTATGAAATCATCTGAAAGTATAAATATTTTTTATACTTAGTTTTATATAGTTTGAATATTTTAATTTTTTTAGTCCCTTTGAAGACAGCAAACATTTACTGAAACAAAAAATATTTATTTATAATTCATATAATTCACTAAATGTAATAAATGTTAAAGAGATACAACTAATTAAATTTACCAAAGACGTTTTTGTAAGTTTCTAGTATTTACTAACAAGTTATTAAAACAGTATTTCACTAAGACTGTTGGGAGCTGCTGAACATCTTTCCTAGAGATGATCAAAATGGTAAAATTGCCTGATAAATATTACTCTTTGCTAAAACGGAATTGTAACAAATAAAATCTTTTCTGGTGAACTGCTTTATTTTCTTATTCATTCACAAAATGAACGGTATGCTTAAGTCACTGTTCTCACTATTTCCTAAGGAAAGTTGCTTTTGCTTTAATTTTTTATGTTGAGGTATAACTGGCATTCAGTAAAATTAGCTCTTTTGCAAACTCAGTTGCTCAAGTTTTGACAAACATAGTTGCATAACCACCACCACAATTAACATACAGAACAATTTCATTATGCCTCCAAACTCCCCCACGCCTCTTTACAGCCAATCCATCCCTCTAATCTCAGCTCTTGGAAACCAGTATTCCTCCTGCTTTCCTTTTGCAAGAAGGTCATATGAATGAAATCATATAGCCTGTAGCCACTTGATTGAATTTGGCTTCCTTTATTTAATATAACACTTTCAAGATTCATCCATGTAGCTGCATGTATAAATTATTCATTCCCTGTTTTTTTTTTTCTTTGCTACATAGTATTGCAATAAATGAATAGCCCACAGTTCATTTACCACTCTCTGCTTGTACATTTTGATTGTTTCCCCTTTTTGGCAATACTGAATAAAAGCACTGTAATAACTCACATGCACTTTTTTGTGTGCAGGTAAGTTCTCATTTTTCCTTGGAAAACACCTAAGAATGGTATGCTAGGTCATACAGAAAATGTTTAAATTTCATTTAAACACCTGCAAAATTGTTTTCCAAAGTGGCCACACAATTTTGCATTCTCACCAGCACTGTGATAAAATATTAACTTTAAATAACTGGTTTGAGGTGTAAAGCGTATTACTAACTCCCTGAAAAATTGGGTAAAATTATTTATGAGAAAACTTCAAGTATTACATAACTATAAAGGTTTGTTTTATCTGTAACAAAATAATAACCAGTAATTTAAAAATAGAAACCTCAATCAAAACTAAGTCATACCTAGAAAACAAGGAAGTACTGCAAAAAATTATATATAGTATATTATATGAATATATATATACACATATATTATATATAATAATATATATACATATATATATATATATATATATATATATATATATATATAAGTACATGTATAATATATATACTGTTACACATTGAAAATAATACAAAATTCAAATACATTTTCCCCAAAGTTAGAAAACTAAATAGAAGTTCAAATCCTTCAAAGCCACTGACTTTGTTCTTTACCTTTCCATATTCATGAACCAGGTTAGGAAAAATAAATTCCAAACATGCATAAAATTTCACAGTGGTTCAAAAAGTAACCAAATCTATACATGATGATGTCTTAATTTGCATTCAACAAAAGCATCATCCAGCTAAGGCCCCACCACCTACATGTCAAGATGCTACAGCTGCCTCGGATGTTGCAAGGCACTCAGAAACAGAGACTTCCTCTGTCAGTAAGGGCACAGTGTACTGTTCATGACTGGGGAGCTCAGGGCCCAGGGAGGCTTCTGGTAAAGAAGTAGAATCTGTGGAAGTGCACTTAGAGAACAGAGTTAAAGCAAGCAAAAGCCAAGAAGTATTTTAGAAGAACTCAGATTTGTTAGCTTACAATTATTCATGCATTACACAAGAAGAGATAAAACAGAAAAAACAAAGAGAAACATCCACACTCTTTCTAACACAGTCCAGACTCTTTTAATTTCACACATACCATTTAAGTAAAGATTATTCACTAAATTTCCTTTGTGGAACAAAACTATG